CGGTAGATAAAACTTTGACACCCGAACAACGTAACTCCTTGGAAGCCCCACTCTCTAAACACGAGATATGGACCGCCCTTTTGCAAATGGAGGAGGAGAAAGCTCCCGGGATTGATGGCTTCCCTAAAGAAATTATGGGAAACAACATGGGACTTTATGAGCCAAGTTGTTATGGACTTCTATAGTGAAGTATGACTCATAGGGGAGATGGGGGAAAGGGTGGGACAAGGGATATTAACCCTCCTATACAAAAAATGGGATAAGATGGATATAACAAATTACGGACCAATTACGCTCCTCACAGTAGTGTACAAAATGTTGTCTAAAGCATTAGCAAACAGAATGATTCTGGTAATGGAAGACATCATCCATCCCGCTCAAACCGGTTTCACGGAGAATAAGAACAATCAAGAAAATATCGTATTGATCCATGAGATACTCCAGCTCACGAGACACTCTCGTCAAAACGTGGCCTAAATCTTCATAGATTTTGAAAAGGCCTATGATCACATGGATTGGCTGTTTTTGGACAAATCTTTGGAAGAAATGAACTTTGGGCCGGATTTCAGACGTTGGATACAAATCCTACACCAAAACGCTACCACTTGCATCCAGGTCAATGGAAGCCTTGCGCCGCCCCTATGTTTAGAACGGTCGGTCCGCCAGGGGGACCCAATTGCCCCTTTCCTTTTTTTAATCATTATGGAGGCACTAGCCGCCAACCTTCGGGCGAACAAAAATATTACTAAAATTCGAGTTACACACATTCCAAAGGACGCAATTCAGATGTGCTCGATGTTTGCAGATGACCTCACAATAATGGTAGAGGCCACACACCACAATATGGAGGAAATCGAACGGATGATGGAAACGCTTGCTAAGGTTTCCGACATGACAGTAAATTGGGGATCTAAGACACAAGGATGGTGGATCCACTACCAAGGGGGTTGCCCTCTAGAGTCACCATGCATTACATGGATGCCGTTAGAGACCCCGGTAAGAATCCTCAGGGTATCCATGATCATAGAGGGATGACCACCAATCAACGATGAATGGATCAGCGCACCGGCTCAACGCAAACTAAGCAAGTGGAGAAACAAGCACACATCCTTGTTTGGGCGCGCGCTAGTACTTAGCAACGTGATATTTGCATCATTATGGTACAAGTCCTAGCTGTGGCCATTGAGCAAAGTGGCCCTGGGGTGCCTAAGGAAAAAGGCAGCGGCTTTCCTATGGAGGGGGGATGGAGAGCAGACCAATGCAATTAGCCGTGTGGTGTGGGATTCAATTATGCAGCCTAAGGCAGGGGGAGGCCTGGTAATACTTGATCCAGCCACGCAGGTGCAAGCATTACGGTTTAAGTGGATTAAAAAGCTTATTTTTGCCCCCCGAAGCCTGTGGTGTGTTTTAGCTCTAGAGCATTTGGCCAGGCTGGCCCCGACAACCCCCCATACAATCCACCCGTTGACATGGTTGGAGGACCGATTTTGGACGATCCCACATAAGCTCACAGAAGGAAGGGAGGGTATGGATGGCGGGGGTCAGACGCTGGATAACTTTTGGACATCCCTGCTGGAAACCTGGCGTAAACTTCTGCTCCCAGACAGACCCCACCCCAGTCGTTGGGAGGAAGTCTATGGACAACTACTCTTTGGAAATAGATGGGTGACAGACTCGAGGGGTTGCGTCATGACAAGCTCATCCTTGAGCTCATCCCTGCCCTAGAAGAGCTGGGTCAAACACGGGGTACTTAGGGTAGGGGATCTCTGGGACAACGAGAGGCAGGACTGGAAAACAGGAGACCAGTTGCGGGTAACCCTAAGGTACTGCCATCATGTAGAGGAGCTTTTGGATAACCTTATTGAAGCCATCCCACTGGAATGGTACCGGATTCTCAAACATGGTCCCACCCTGAAAATAGGTGATTGGGTGGCAAGCACAAAGATCCCGTTGAGGATTGGCCAGATACAAATGGTCTCATCACAAGCAGCAGTATATCGAGTTAGAGTTACAGAGGAGGGTGGTGTCCCAGCCGTGCAAACCAGTCCAGGACCTGCCTCTAGACCCGGTAGAATGGACTTGGAACCCCCCCCCAAAAAGGGGAGCACCCAAGGTACGTCATATTAGCCTGCACCAGTTGACAGTCAAATCAGCCTACAAAATGTTCAGACCTAAACGGTTTTTGAGAGACACGATTAACGATAGATGGGCCAGACACCTAAATGTGGACCGCTCCCTCCTATCACCAATCCAATGGTTCAAGGAACAAAAATCTAAGCCCATGAAAGTCACCTCCCTACAGTGGCAGATCGCCCATCGCTGTCTGCCAACCAACGACTGGTTGACTGACCGTACAGACAACGAGGTCTACTGCTCCCATGGTGCTAGCGGTGCGAGAGTCTTTTCCCGTCCCATAAGAAGGCGGAGACCATTGACCATATCTTCATGCAATGTCCGATTGCCCAATTCATATGGAGATGGTGGGACCGCATCTGGCGGAAAATGGTATCTGACATCCCCTGCCTCTGGTCATGGCAAACCATATTGGCTGGACATTGGCCTTTGGCAGGAACAGCCACGACCTTCATAGGGAACATGCACAGGCTTGGGAGGAGAGCGGTGATATGGGCACTGTGGTGGTAGAGATGCACCCTAGCCATGGAGAAGGTACGGGTGGAGGGGTTAGAGGTTATAGAACAGATTCAGCAACAGGTGCACCTTGAACTCACACAAAGATGGTTGGACACAATCACAATTAGACCTCTTCAGACAAACTAGAGATGTTAGGAGACGGATAACGACATTTTGTACGAACTGGGTAGGAGGGGAACGGGAAGGATGGATTGCAAAAAGAATGGAGAGGTGACAGGGGAGAAGGGCTGCGGGATTTGGATGAGATGAGAGACTACCGTCTAGTTTTCAGGGACTGGACAAACATAGAACCCTCATTCCCACTACGCCCCCCTTGGATTTTCCAGACCCCTTCCCACCTCACGCCCTTTCTCTGGCAGAGATTCTGTCCTGAACAGTTACCTGAACAGTTACCCTTTCCCTGATATACTTACTCCCACATACGTGTGCATATATACATACAATTAGATACATAGTTACATACATATGGACGCCCACATATGGAAATCCGCCCCGTGCCCCCTGGGGAGGACTTGCTAATGTACATATCTGTCGCTTATTTGCCAGTGAGTAGTCTCGCTAAAACCCAGGATGAAATTTCAGCAAGTTCATGCCATCCAGGGTAAGTAGTACCAGCTTTAATGGTAGTATTTGGCGCTTTTTTTAAGAGTGAAGAGGTACAGGTAATCAATGATGGCAGGCCTCACGGTCACTATTCTCAATATTCTCAGTAATTCTCATTTTCTGTATATGGGACGCTGGACCCGTTTTCCAGCAGGTGATGCTTCCCACCAAAAGACAGAGCTCCCCCCAGGTGTTAGTGGTGCCTGCTTGTATCAGCAGCAGTAAAGAGGAGAGGGGCAGCCTTTCATGCATTGCGTTATTCCCTTCCTGGTGGTAAAGGAGCTAGGGGGAGTTGTACTTGAAATTGCCTCTCTGGGTGATGCGGATGAGAACGTGATTCATGTTGAGAGGACATGGAGAAGGGGGTTGGCATCAGGTAGGGCAGCCATGGTGGAAAGTGGGATGGAGAGACTGCTCTAACCTCCTCGAGGTCGAGACAATCCTCTGGTTGTTTTAATCTGTTGGCATTTGTTTGTCTCGATCTCCATTACTTAAAGCACAAGTACACGGACCCAGCCTTGGAGCAAAACATCTTGCCGCCACAAGATTGTTTTTGTGGCTAGGGCCTACCGGACCACAAGGGCTGGTGCCGCCAGCCAAAAAAGAAAAGAAGTGCCGCGCTGGCAGTTTGGCAAGTGCGCCGCTGGCGGTTCGGAAAAAGAGGCCCGGGTGTACTGGTGGTTTAAACCACCTGTACTTGGCCCAGCTATCGGCTGCGGAGACTAGAAACATTTCTAGTCGGATGAATTTGGGCACTCCTGTAGTGACCCGTACATTTCCTAAAATTGTGGCTCGTGAACGGGCACAACTTCAGGAAGTACTGGTGGTTTAACGGATCTGGCAAGCATTGTTGACATTCTCCATGTTCGAGGCTAGGAAGTGACTCTAGGTTTCAGATGAGCGATAGGCTTTGCTAGAGATGTCACTTCTGAAAAATATTCTTTGTAATGAATTTCGCCTTTGAATGGCAGGATCGGTTGCACCTGAGTGTCACAGTCGTGTAGCGGAAATCCGCAGTGCTTCTGTTCCAGGTCTGCTCTCACACTTGGAATTTGAAAGCACATTTTTTTTGGCAGGCCACCTTCTCTTCCAGATGAGGATGCGACTCAGAAGGGGAGGCCATAAAATACTAAAAATAATGAAATATGTTACTTGCTTTTGTTCCCCGTGGGAGTGCTTTGTATGGGAGCAGGTATGTAGGAGCTGAGTCTGTTCTAGGTTAGAAACTTAGAACAGAATCAACAGATGTAATTGGAAGGTGTATACACCTGCTTTTGTGTCAGGTTGGAATGTATTTACACCAATCTGAGGGCAAGGTGCATCTGCTTTTGTTCTAGGTTAGAACAGATGTAATTGGAAGGTGTATACACCTGCATCTGTGTCAGGTTGGATTGTATATATCTAGTCTGACGGCAGGGTGCATGGGAACACATTCTTAACCCTATTCAAATGCTGTCTTGCTTGAGTTAAGAGTAGGTAACTCTTTCGCTTTCTCATGTACTCCATGCTCTGGACTTTCTTTGTGCAGCATTTCACACTTCCATCTCCTCCTCCTCGTTATCTATGGCACCAACACTATCCCTTTCCCCCTCCTTTCTCCACCTGGTTGGGAAACAAGAAAACAGGAACCTTTATCCAGCTATCCTGTTCTATGCTAGGTGAAGGTGTTGTGCAACCCTGCATGCTGCAATGTGCCCTATTTTTGGGGTCCTTCTTCTGACTTTTTCTTGGTTCTAGTTGTGCAGATTCTCAGTGGAGCCTCCTATGAATTCAGCCAGTTCGACAGGAATGAGAGACTCTCGTTTTCGCGATGATGGGTCTTTCACGTCTGCGGGAAGTGGGGAGGATGCCTATGGCGGAAGGGATAGGGCCTCATCAAGAGAGAGTGTTAAGTACATCAAGAGGGACACAACGGCTGCACTCCAGGATGAGGTGCGTCAAATTGCCTTTGCATCTCTTCCAGATAAAGATCAGTTTACCTCTTTGCGGATTTCAAGTGAGGGGCTAAGTGAAAATGCTGTACGGCACTTCGACAAGCACTAAAAAAGCCAATGATAATATTTTGTAAGAGGAAGGCATTTGGCATGTTTATTGTTTGTTTTATGCAAAGGAGCATGATTTCGAGGGCCGAACCAGTGGCTTGATAATGATCTTCTATATGTTTGCCCGCAGGCCTGAGACGCAGAGAAGTAAGCATAGCTGCAGCGTATTGAGTGAGTGTAAGTCGTACTTGTGCAGCATACGGGCGAAAATCCCCCACCCCCACACCACCCCTAGAGAAGAAAAGTTGGGTGTGTGAAGAACGTCCAGCCTCTCTTCCCCACCCAAAATGAAAAAGCGGTGTGCAATTTTTTTCCTGGGCTGTGCAGAGTTGCAAACGCCCAAAAACAGGAAACCAGCCAACTTTGAATTCAAAGTTGGCGCTTTCAATTCCCAGCCCCTGCTATGTCAGATGTATACAGGTCATCCTTTTTGTCGGATACAGTCATTATGGGGTTGTGCGTTCTCGAGATTGCGACGGATTCTTCCGACTAGTTTTTCCTTTTTTTTTTTTTTTTTCAAAAACAGGTCCTTATGGCCCCGGCTCCATTTCCATTCTGGGGAGCATCAGTCTGGTTCCTATTTCACCGGCAAGTCAAAAAAATATTACATCATGAACCCATTCACGCTTCCTTCCGTCCGGCCGAAAGAACCCTGAACAGCATTTATTACTCCACCTGCGTGGAGGATTGACTGTCAGCTTGCCTTTCCTTCTTCTTTCCTCTCAGGTCTACTGCTTAAGCCCTGTCATATAATCAATAAGAACAAGAAAGAATAGGACGCCATGGAAGCTACAGTCTCTGAATCCAGGCTCCACTCATTATGTGGCCTGTGATAGAGCTGGTCCTTCTGCTGACTGAGAACTCTGCCTCCTCCTCCCTGTTTCTGAATTGTGCCAGTCCTTCCACCTTATGTGAGAGTCGATTATCTCCGCTACTTTGCCCCTTGCAAGCCACACCTTAATAAAATTTGCCTTGATTTTTTCCTGTTGCTCTACGTTGTCCGGCATAGATTGTCTTGTCTTATGCCATTTGCAAAGAATCTCAGCCTGGATCAGGGTCTTTGTCTCCGCCCATACCTTCTCCCTTGGAGTCGAGAGTCCCTCAATAGTTCTGCAGCACCTTTCCTTCCAGATGGACCACAGCGTCGTCTTTCGGATCATTCCAAACCATATTTTCTCGGACTTATGAAATTGGGCAGGGATGTTAGTCCATAGGAGTTGGACAGGATGTTCGGGGAGGGGAATCGGGAAGAGGGAGTCCCATAGATCCGACGCTCTCACCCAGTATTCGGTAGCCTCTTTACAGCGTATCAGACAATGTAATATATCTTCAGGTTCGTTTTGTGAACAGACCGTGCATAGATCTGAGCTGTTAGGGTCGTTCTTCTTTCTTCTTATATGCAACCACTGGTTGACTGGCAGAGATACATATGTGATGAGCCATTGGAGGCTCCTAATTTTGACTGGACGAATTGTCTTGAATWTTTTCCATGGTATTTGTGAAATCTGACTGGCGTCTTGACCTATTAACTTCTGCCATCTGTTCTTGATCGTTGGATCCGGGTCTTTTGTTTTGAGGAGTAGATTGTATCCCAGTTTAACAGTGTATTCCTGAATGGGGATAYACGTTTTGGGACTTCTGGTTCTGTYYGGTRTCCAAGCCCACTCYGCTGGGTCAAATTCCAAATCTTGAATTGCCGTATCTGCTCTGAATATTGTTTTTGGCCATGATCCCAGCACCCTTACTTTTCTTAGTACAAAGGGGTTCAGGACTGTTCTTTCTACCTCTTGATTCAGGATTGATGGAAGGCCTTGCGTCGAGGAGRTAATTGGGAAAGAAGTGAACACYGCCAGGGTATCCGATCCTTGCTGTTTATGGGAGAATTGATAGGCCCTAGATGGAGTTAACTCCTGTATCCTCACTCCCCATTCGCCCGATTTCCAGGTTGCAACTTCAGTCAACAGATCCTTCCAGCCTTCTGGGAAGCTGTTGATAATAGATTGTAGATTCTCGTCTCGCCGGTGACAGCCTTTCAGTTGGGAGGCAAGTTCCTGTTCTGTCACCCAGTCCTTYCTGTTGTCATTCCACAGATGGCTCACTTTCCAAACACCATGTTTRATCCACGATAACCATCTCCTTCCTCTRGGGTTAAGGGATAATTGGTGGTCACCTTCGTCTCTCACCCACGGATTACCGAACAGAGGTTGCCTCAGAACCTCGTCTTTGGATTTGGGTTTACCCACCTTTTTCGGCATGACCTCCCGCCATGTCCGTAGCAGTGCCGTCCAATAGGGTGTAGGGGGCCTGNCGGTTCCTATTCCACCGGCAAGTCAGAAAAATATTACATCATGAACCCACTCACGCTTCCTTCCGTCCGGCCGAAGGAACCCTGAACAGCATTGATTACTCCACCTGCGTGGAGGATTGACTGTCAGCTTGCCTTTCCTTCTTCTTTCCTCTCAGGTCTACTGCTTATGCCTGTCGTATAAACAATAAAAACAAGAAAGAACAGGACGCCATGGAAGCTACAGTATCTGAATCCAGGCTCCACTCATTATGTGGCCTGTGATAGAGCTGTTCCTTCTGCTGACTGAGAACTCTGCCTCCTCCTCCCTGTTTCTGAATTGTGCCAGTCCTTCCACCTTATGCGAGAGTCGATTATCTCCGCCACTTTGCCCCTTGCAAGCCACACTGTAGTAAAGTTTGCCTTGATTTTTTCCTGTTGCTCTATGTCGTCCGGCATAGATTGTCTTGTCTTATGCCATTTGCAAAGAATCTCAGCCTGGATCAGGGTCTTTGTCTCCGCCCATACCTTCTCCCTTGGAGTCGAGAGTTCCTCAATAGTTCTGCAGCACCTTTCCTTCCAGATGGACCACAGCGTCGTCTTTCGGATCATTCCAAACCATATTTTCTCTGACTTATGAAATTGGGCAGGGATGTTAGTGCATAGAAGGAGTTGGACAGGATGTTTGGGGAGGGGGATCGGGAAGAGGGAGTCCCATAGATCCGAGGCTCTCGCCCAGTATTCGGTCGCCTCTCTACAGCGTATCAGACAATGTAATATATCTTCAGGTTCGTTTTGTGAACAGACCGTGCATAGATCTGATCTGTTAGAGTCGTTCTTCTTTCTTCTGATATGCAACCACTGGTTAACTGGCAGTAGATTGTACCCCAGTTTAACAGTGTATTCCTGAATGGGGATATGCGTTTTGGGACTTCTGGTTCTGTCAGGTATCCAAGCCCACTCCGCTGGGTCAAATTCCAGATCTTGAATCGCCGTATCTGCCCTAAATATTGTTTTTAGCCATGATTCCAGCACTCTTACTTTTCTTAGTACAAAGGGGTTCAGGACTGTTCTTTCTACCTCTTGATTCAGGATTGATGCAAGGCCTTGCGTCGAGGAGGTAATTGGGAAAGAAGTGAACACCGCCAGGGTATCCGATCCTTGCTGTTTATGGGAGAATTGATAGGCCCTAGATGGAGTTAACTCCTGTATCCTCACTCCCCATTCGCCCGATTTCCAGGTTGCGACTTCAGTCAACAGATCCTTCCAGCCTTCTGGGAAGCTGTTGATAATATTGTAGATTCTCGTCTCGCCGGTGACAACCTTTCAGTTGGGAGGCAAGTTCCTGTTCTGTCACCCCATCCTTTCTCTTGTCATTCCACAGATGGCTCACTTTCCAAACACCATGTTTGATCCAAGATAACCATCTCCTTCCTCTAGGGTTAAGGGATAATTGGTGGTCACCTTCGTCTCTCACCCACAGATTACCAAACAGAGGTTGCCTCAGAACCTCATCTTTGGATTTGGGTTTACCCACCTTTTTTGGCATGACTTCCCGCCATGTCCGTAGCAGTGCAGTCCAATAGGGTGTAGGAGGCCTGGCTACGTTTGGGTCAGTTCCTCTTCGTTGATTTCTGCGTCCTGTATTCAGGATCCAATCCTTGGACATTACCCAGAACAGACCGGACATGTTTGCTGGCGTGGATATAGGTTCTAGGCCCCTGATGCTATCCAAAGCCACTTTATTCCACGCCGTGCCTGGTTTTGTCAGTAGTTTGATCACCCATTTAACTTGTAAGGCTTTGGTTTCCTGTTTGGGGTCTATGATACCTAGGCCTCCTTTGGCTGGTTTCCTTGTGATGTAGTGCCAAGCTATCGGTATGCAGTTCTCTTTGTTGGGTCCGACTAGTTTTTCCTTTTTTTATAAATTTTAAAGTTGTAATGAGAAAGACCTTCACGAATCGCTCATGAATCATTGGTATTTGTGAACTATGCCCTTCCCAGTTCATGATGTATATAATCCATTTTTCAGATCCCATACAGTCTTAATGAGGGTGCCTTATCTCCGAAAGTCGGCTTCTGTTTTTCTTTTTGTGTGTGGCTGTGGGTTGGCCCATATCTCGTGGCGACCCAACCCATATTATCTAGACTCCTATCATTAGGGTTCATAATAATAGATTTTTCTGCTGACTGAGGGGCCGGATGTGGGCATTGGTGTCACACCCCTTTTCCCGGATGCAGCGAAGTGGGTAGGTCGAAATATACCTTGGGCTCTTGGAGAAGGTTTTACTGACAGTTAGTTTCTCTATTTTTCAAATGTGTTTGGTCGTTTCCTGCAGATTGATTTGCTGCATGAGGAGAACGAGTTCCTAATGGAGAAGGTACGACTGCCACAAACGGATTATGGTTGATGAGATCCATCTTCCTCAATGTTCATAAATTTCCATAATTACCAAAGGGCCTAGCGCAGTTGGTACACCCATTAACTGTTGAAACACAGACCCAAGGCCTAGTTGGTACACCCATGAACTGTTGAAACACAGACCCAAATTCGAATGCAGATACAATCGGATGACTAGAACAAAAGTCATTCTGAATAACCTGGGGCCGTCAGTTGAATGATGATAGCTCAAGGCTATCGCCCTTTAAAAAAAAAAAAAAAAAGGTCTGAAAAAAAAAAAAGAAACGTCCGTAACATACATGATTTTGTGATACATGGTTTGTGGGCTTGCACTTTAAAAGTGCAAAAATTGCCAATTGTGTGGAGGAGCTGAACAGTGTAAGATTCCGTTAACAGTTAGTTCATTTCATAGCTTAGGGCATACGAACACTAGAACTTTCCTACTTTTGGATGTTATTGTGGCCAGATACATCCAGGTCCAGCTGTAAATGCAGTCAAACATTTAAGATAGTGCTAGTTTGAGTATGCCCGCAGAATGCTACTTTGTTGGGAAAGGGCGTCCCTGCCGTGCAATCTATTCTTGCTGGAATGCACGTCTAGGTCTGTCTAGTTTGGGCCATTACTGTCCGGGGACATGAATAGGGTATAGCACTGAACCACCTGTTTCGGGCTGCACGTAATATTTGGGCCGAGAAGTCCCACCGGTTACTGAAGGTAACCTGTAGCCCCTTTGTATATTGACGGTGTGTGTGTGTGTGTGTGTGTGTGTGTGTGTGTGTGTGTGTGTGTGTGTGTGTGTGTGTGTGTGTGTGTGTGTGTGTGT